TGGGGCGGCCCGGGGCCGAGCGGGGTCCGCAGCTGCTCGGGCCGATCTTCGCCGGAGCCCCGAGAGGGCGGAGTGGCCGGCGCCGAGGGCGGAAGACGCGGCGATGCCCGCGGCTCCCTCCCGCTCGGGACAAAGGACTTTCTGTTCCGCCGCCTCGTCTCCGTCCCCTGGGCTAACTTGGTCTTCTTGGGAGGCGGCATCTCTGCCCGGCCTGGGGTCGCTCCTGGATCTGCACGTTCTTAACGCCTCTGCAGGAAGCGCCGTGGCCTCCCGGGAGCCGTCCCGAGGGGGCCATTAAGGACGGTTTCGGGGACCTGGAGTTTGCCTACGTGGCTTCTCTGAGCCCTGGGCGTCAAGACGGCAGTAACTCACAAAACTGTGACTAACGTGCAATACTGCTTTGAAAAGGGGCCAAGGATGTGCTTAACAAACGCAGATCTTTATTATTAGTATTGAATCGCGGGTTGACCAGTAGGCGCAAAGGCGCCCTTTTCGTGGCAGGGGTTAAAAGTCCTTGCAATGTTGCCACTGTCCTTGCACTCCCGCTCTTTTCCCCCAGAGCCTCATGGTGGGACTGCAAAGCGGAACTCCAGTTCCCAGAAGTCCGTGCGATGTTACAAGAAACTACGATTCCCAGCGCCCCCCGCGCGGGGCGGGGATTGGGCCAGGGCCTCAGTGGAGACTACAACTACCAGGGCCGCCTGGTAGCTGGGCTACTGGGGCACCGGAAGCGGCTGGTGGAGAGCAGCTGGCGAAGACTGGGGTTGTCTGGGTACCGGTCAGGGTTGGGAGACGCAGGCATGCTGCGTCCCAAGGCTTTGACGCAGGTGCTAAGCCAAGCCAACACCGGAGGAGTCCAAAGCACCCTGTGAGTGCACAACCAGGACCCGAGCGGCGAGCCCTGGCGCGGGGCGGCGCGCGGCTGCCTGCAGGAGGGGTAGGGAAGGAGCCCCACGCTAGGAGGAGGCTAGTGGTGCGAGCGGTCTTTTCGGGAACCCTACGTGGGGGCCCCTCTGGGAAAGGGAAGTCGGCTAGTGCTTAGGGCATGTTCCGGGATATATTCAGCGCAGATCCTTGCTTCCTAGAAACGCCAGGAGCGGGAACTGGGAAAGGAACCCAGGCTTTTTACTCCTCCTGAGTTTGTCGATATCCTTCCCCATCCTCGCCAGGCTGCTGAATAACGAGGGATCGTTGCTGGCCTACTCCGGTTATGGGGACACAGATGCCCGGGTCACCGCGGCCATCGCCAGTAACATCTGGGCCGCGTACGACCGGAACGGGAACCAAGCGTTTAATGAAGACAATCTCAAATTTATCCTCATGGACTGCATGGTATGGAGTAAAGTAGGCTGACCTCGAACTTGCAGTGATCATCCTGCCTCTGCCTCCTGAATACTGAGATTGCGGGGGTGCACCACCGCACTTCGCTAAATAAGTAAAACATAGATATTAAAAAAAGGACCGAGAGTTAGGGGTGCAGACACATGTGGCGGTCAATCTCACTGAAAGGGTGACATTTGATAAAAGATCTGAAGGTTGGAAAGAGGAAGGGAATAAGCCATGCATTGATCTGTTGGGAAAATGTTTCTTTCTTTCTTTTTCTTTTTTTGGCTTTTCAAGACAGCATTTCTCTGTGTAGTCCTGGCTGTCCTGGAACGCACTCTGTAGACCAGGCTGGCCTGGAACTCACTGAGATCCGCCTGCCCCTGCCTCTGCCTCCCGAGTGCTGGGATAAAGGCGTGAGCCACCACTGCCCGTCGGGAAAATATTTCTAACAGTCAGGACATGGTGGCTTATGCCTCTAGTCCCAGCACTGTATTTCTGACAGAAGAGCAATTGCAAAGGGCCCAGGGCAGAGTGAGTTTGGATAAAGGTCAGTAAGGACGGAGTTCCAGAATGGGGGAAAGTGGTAGGATAGGGCTAAAAAGAAATGTCTGGTTCCCAGCACTCTGGACAGTGACGGTGTGCAGAAGCCAATCGGTTGGTCCCGGGCGGGGTGGGGTGAATGCTCCTCAGAAATCTCTTAATTGTGAATGAGGCAGCCCATTCTTTACACCCCTCCCAACCATGGCTGACTCTTCCTGGGTACTCAGTCTAGGGCTGGTGCCATGGGGCATGGGGCAGAAGCTCCAAAGACATTCACAACAACCCAGCCATAATAAATGCATTTTAAGGGACAGAGGATGAGCTCAGTGGTAGAGCACTTTGGACTCCTAGGACCCATTCCCAGAGGCACAATTTTTGTTTTTAAGTCAAAGCCTAGTATACACATTGATACACTAAAATAAGTTTCATGAAACATCACTTCTCTTACTATAATTTGACATCTGTCATTTTTTTTTAAATGTTGCTCAACCCTCTTAGTTGATCCTCATTTTGAAAAACTATACCATGAGAAAAGAGGAGACATGTAAGTTGGGTTGTGGATTTTTTTTTTTTTTTGCCATTAAGTTTTTTAGATTCATTTATTTTATTCTGTATGTATGAGAGTTTTGCCCAGGTGTTACATATGTGCACCATGTGCATGCATGGTGCCCCCAAGGAGGTGCAGAAGAAGGCATCGGTTCCCCTGAACTCTATGGTTGTGAGCACAATGTTGGTGTTGGGAATTGAACGCAAGTCTTCTGCAAGTGCTTCAGACAAATTGGGTTATTGTTCCTGGTCCCTCACTTGTTGAGACCATTCTTGGCATTAGAGAAGAAAACCCCAGTTTCTGAGAGACTTGGTTTCCCAGGATAACTTGATTAGGAATTGCCTGTGCTGAGGCTGGAATCAGCGTCCCACCTCACGTCTTCAGGGTTGGGCAAAGCATTCTGGATGAACTTCCTGCCCTGCCAGCCTTGGGAACAATCTCTCTGGGCTCAGAGGAGCCCCAGAGAGATAGGAACTAAGGGGCCAAGCAGAATGCCTCAGTAGATTCTCCCCACTAGGAGGGACGTGTAGCCATTACTCGCGTGGCCAACCTCCTGTTATGTATGTATGCCAAGGAGACTGTGGGCTTCGGAATGCTCAAGGCCAAAGTGAGTACATTCCTGTTCCAACCTTCCTGGGCCCAGCCACAGTGCCTGTTCACTGTGTCCATTCCCTACATGTGCCCCTTTCCAGAGTTCTCCTGTCTCCTCCGTCCTTGTCTGGGGTGGGCTAAAGAGCAGTGGGGGTGGGTTGGGGGTTGGTGACTCAGTGTGGGGTAGGGAGCCAATTTGGGATCACTCTAAGCATAAGCCATGCGTGGACTGACTTGTGTTTTCTGTCTTTGCAGGCCCAGGCCTTGGTGCAGTACCTGGAGGAGCCCCTCACCCAAGTAGCAGCATCATAATAATGTGATATAATGTGAATAAGCTGGGGTCAGGAGGGATGGTGCTTGGGAGGAGCAGGGTACACCTATTGGACTGGTTACAGGAAAGTGGGACTTTGGCTTTTTTCCAAATAAATTTCAACTCTTGCCTTGTGTCTCAGATGCTTTCTTGGATGAAAGAGCTCAGGCCTTGGGAAGGAGTGGGGTGGATTACTTAAGAGGATTCCTTATCCTCTGCAAAGGTGGGTTCCCTCATCCCCCATCATCCAATCTCCCAGCAATTCTTGGCAGGGCTGCCCAGCACAATTGACTTCTCCAGTGCTGGGCTTCATCTGACTCCAGCCACTCAGAACTGATTTTTCTCCCCCACCCACCCCTGACAGGGTTTCTTTGTGTGGCCGTGGCTGTCCTAGAACTAGCTCTGTAGACCAGGTTGGCCTTGAACTCACAGAGATCTGTCTGCCTCTGCCTTCCAAGTGCTGGGATTAAAGGTGTATGCCACCACTTCTGACCTCAGAAAAACAATTGCTTTTCTTTAAACAATTTTTTCTTTTGTTTATTTGAAATGGGGTTTCTCTGTGTCCAGGAACTCTCTCTGTAGACCAAGCTAGCCTCATACTCAGAGATCTGCCCGCCTCTGCCTCGTGAGTGCTAGGATTAAAGTATGAGCCACCACACCATTTAAAAAATTTTGTTAGATTAATTTGTATGAGTGTTTTGCCTGGGGTGACGTCTGCACCATGTGCATGTCTGCAAAGGTCAGAGGAGGGCGTCACATCTCTAGAACCAGTTACAGACAGTCGTTAGACACCTTGTAGGTGCTGAGAGCTAAACCTGGGTCTTCTGCAGGAGTAGCCAGTGCTCTTAACTGCTGAGCCTTCTCTCCAGCCCTCCGAGCAGAATCTTATCCACCCTTTGGCAGCACCTTGGAACTGAGCTGGAGGAGCAAAGGCCTGTTTTTGTTGGACACAGAAGATATAGAGCCCTAGGGTTCAATCTCTTCTAGCTTAGGGAGGAGTGCCCGTAAGCTGGACACTTTCCTAAGTTCTCAGGAGCCAGCTAGGTCCTCTCTGCAGGATTTGTTTTGTTTTAATTAACAAAGGAAATTGTGTATGGTCATGCAGATTCTTCACCATTACATTTACCTATTGTATGTGCGCACGTGGGTGGGTGGGTGTGTCCCACGGTGCAAGTATGGCAGTCAGGAGACAACTTTCATAAGCTGGGTCTCTCCACCGTGTGGGTTTCAAGGAATGAACTCAAAGTGGTCAAACTTGGTAGTATTTGTTCTCTTTTATTTATTTATTTATTTATTTATTTTATTTATTTATTTTTTTTTT